CGGCTACCCCATGCAGCAGCTGCATGGGGCCCCATCATCAGGGCCCCGCCACGCCGTGCGGCCCGCCCGGGGCCATCGGCTCTTGTTTGTTTTCTGCCGGGTGGCAGGGCTTTGTTGGCATGTCACGGCGGTGCTTATTACGCATTGCAGAAGGGCGGGACCATCGGTGAACAGGCTATCAGCTGTGGGGCAAGAGGGGGAGCAGTCGGGAGGGCAGAGTCCAAAGCCTGGTTTGCTGTAGCGCGTTGTGGGGTCATTGTACAGCATCCGTGCATCACGCTCAGCGGCGGTGCCGGCGGCGGGGCCGGCGCGCACTTGGGCGTGCCTGCGAGCATGTGTCGGCCGCATTTGTAGACAGCGTAAAGGTGGGTTTTCACAGTGACTTTAATGGTTTATTATTTGTCATCGGGAGCATGTTGCCCCCCTCATCAAAAGCTTGCCACACATCTCAACTGCCATGACTCAGTGTTTTGGATTTAGTAACGAGCTGACTGTGCTGTTGCGTGGTTGCAGCGCACAAGGGCATGCCATTTACGCAGCCGCAATTGCAAGGAAGTTGGTGAGATCAGGGGTGCTGCCTTTGATGGCAAAGTGCAGTGCACGTGATGCATGCACGGATGATCTGGATCTGTCTGCTCCTGCATGCACTGTGCATCTGGCTACGCAATGCTTCATGCTGCGAGCAAGGCAGGCAAAGGGCCGTCCACAGGCAAAGGGCCGCCGCCCGCCCTGCAGCTGGCTCGTCCAGCCACAAACAGCAGGGGAAGCCAGAGCTCCGGGGCCGAGCGGCAGCGCGGGGCCGCGAGCAGGGAGCGCTGCTCAGCGGCGCCGCTGCCCTTGCAGCCGGTTGTAGAGGTTCTCCCCCTCCACCCTGTTGCCTTCCCCGCGGCCGCGCCTCGCGGCCCCGCCGCCGCCGCCACCGCCGCCGCCACCGCGGGCGCCGCCTGGAGCGCCCCTCGCGCCCCCGGCGTTTGGGCCGCCGCCCCCGCCGACATCGCCGCCGTGCGGCCCTCTGGCTGCGTTTCCGCGGGCTGGCGGCTTCCTGTTCTTGACACCGCCCCTATGGCGCCGCCGCTTTGACGTGGCGACCACAAAATCATCCTCCTGCAAGATTATGAGCGATGGTGGTGCGTAGCGTTTAGTGGGGATGATAAAAAGGCAGGGTGCCGCAAAGCAGCTGTACAAAGATGCATTTAGCCTTGACCCCTGAAAGGGTTTTTGATTCCCTGGAGTGGTTGGTGATTTTCGTCGGCTCAACCCTCACCTGCAGTCCTCCCTCATCCTCCTCACTGCCATCCCCTCGCCCATCCTCGTCCCCGCCGCCGCCGCCGACTGCGTTCGCAAGTATCGTCTGTTGCAGCTGCAGCATCTCCTCTGGCGAAAAAATCATTCGCCCCTCATTGAGCGGCGCCAGCCCGGGCGAGAGGCCCGCCGCTGCGGCCGCCTGGTAGCTTCCAGGAAGCTGGCCCGGGCTCAGCAGGCTCCTGGGCATGGGCAGGCTGTCAGGCAGCGGCGTTGCTGCTGGTGACGCGGCAGTGCCCGGGGGCTGTTCTGGGGCTGCACCCTGCGCGCTTGGCGGGCGCGGTGCCTGCGGCTGCGGCGACTGCTGTGAGGCGGCCCCTGGGACTGCCGGCGCAGCACTGTCGTCATGACCCACATCAGCATCGCCTGCAGCAACGGACGCGGTGAGCGGTTTCTCGGGGATGCCTCCGCCCAGCCAGGCCCTTGCCGCGGACAGGAAGCCGCCCACAGCGGCAGTAGTCGCCGCTGCGCCGGCCGCGGCAGCGGCGGCCAGGGCCGAGCTTGGCTGGGGGGGCGGGGAGCTCGGCGGCTGCGGCGCGCCTGCCTGCTGCATCTGGCGGTCGGACAGCTGCGCCTGCTGCATCAGCTGCTGCTGCTGCTGCTGCTGCTGCTGCTGCTGCTGCTGCTGCTGCTGCTGCTGCTGCTGCTGCTGCTGCTGCTGCTGCTGCTGCTGCTGCTGCTGCAACGGCTGCAACGGCTGCGGCTGCCAGGCGTTTCTGTCTTGTGAGTGTGGGCCCTCAGGCAGCTGCGCAAACTGCGGCTGACTCAACGGCGTCATCTGCCCAGCGTGCTGCCCTGGATGCTGCTGCAAAGGTAAGCCCGGCGGGTGCACAGGCCACGGCTGCCACCCAGCAAATGCCTCCTGCTGCAGCACCTGCCACCCAAACGCTGCAGGCAGTGCTTCCCGCTGCCCCGGCTGCTGCGCGTAGTGCGGCCCTGCAATCTGCTGCCCCTGCTCCTGCCATTCTTGCTGCGGCTGCGGCCCAGCTGTCTGTTGCGATGGCCCGGGCTCCTGGAGCTGCTGCCACTTGACCTGCTGGGGATGCTGCTGTCCAAACTGCTGCCACGCAGCGTGCGGCATCATGTGCTGCTGCTGCTGTGGCGGCAGCTGTGGCTGTGGCGGCAGCTGTGGCTGTGGCGGCAGCTGTGGCTGTGGCTGTGGCTGTGGCTGTGGCTGTGGCTGCTGCTGCTGCTGCTGCTGCTGCTGCTGCTGCTGCTGCTGCTGCTGCTGCTGTGGCTGCTGTGGCTGCTGTGGCTGCTGCTGCCGTGCCGCTGGGGGCTGCTGCACAAAGCTGGGTCCCGGCTGCGGCAGGTGCCATCCCAGACCCGGCGTGGCGGGGTGCGCTGGCTGCTGCCAGACTTGCGCCTGCGCCCACAGCTGCTGCCGGGCCGCTGCAGGCCCGCCTGCAAGCGCGCCTGCTTCGACGCCGCCAAAGCCCTCCAGCTCCTGAACCATGCCCTTGAGCAATTGCACGTTCGCATGACACGCCGCCACCTGCTGCAGGTGCGCGGCCGCGGCTTCCATCTGTCCGTCCCGCACCAGCCACTGGTACTGCTGATTCAGCTCCGCCAGATGGGCCTCGCATTGCGGCAGCCGCAGCTCAGCGCCGATCCCGTAGTACAGCCGCCGCACCTCCTCCACCACGCCTGCCAGCCGCCCCAGCGCGGAGCCGTCCCGCAGCCACGCAGCCGCCTGCGCCCAGCCGCGCTCGGGTACTGCGGCGGCCAGCGCCTCGAGCACCGGGGCCGCCGCATCGACTAGCTCGTTGCGGCGGAAGGCGAGGCGCTGCAGCGGAAGCGAGGAGGGGATGCCGTGGGGCGAGGCGCCGTGGAGCAGAGTGGCGGCGTGCGCGTCCCACTGGGCTGCCGCCTCCATCAGCGGCTTGACGTCCGACTCCAGGAGCGCCCGCAGATCCTGAGTTTTGCATTGGCGCGGCGGCCAAGCGGGCGGGTCGCGGCGACGGCGCCGGTTGGGCGAGAGGAGAGAGACAGGCGCGGCGGGCGCCTGCATGGAGGCGGCGCAGGCGGTGCAGGCGGCGCAGGTGGTGCAGGTGGCGCAGGCCGCGCAACGCCCCCGCGAGCCCACAAACGCAGCGGAACCGGAGACAAGAGCGCAGATCCTCAGGTGCCGCGCCGCGTGGCGCTCACATGGAACGCGGCTTCGCAGTCGCGGTGCCGCGTGCCCCGCTGCTTGTGCGGCACAAATTCCGGCGCCGCCGCGGACAGCCCGCCCGAGGCCGCGCCGCGCGCCGCGGCAAACGCCTCCGCGCCCTCGGGCGGCGGGCAGACGGGGCAGGTCGTGTCCGTGATCCCACCGGCAAGCAGCTGCTCGGCGACTGCCGCAAGTTGTTCCGTGTGCTTCGCCCATTCCTCCCTCAGCCCGCTGCCTGGCCCCTGGTCAGCCCCGCTGCTTGCCCCGCCGGCTGCTTTCGCCGCCGCCTCCGCCGCCGCCGCGTCTTGCCGCCGCTCCTCCGCCTCTTTGGCAGCCGCGGCCGCCGCCGCCTCCTCCTCCTCCTGCGCGCGCCGCTGCGCGATCCGCGCCGCCGCGCTGTCGCGCAGCGCGCGCAGCGCGCCCCTGATCTGCGGCGACGCGCGCAGCAGGTGCATCCGCAGCTGCCGCGCCTTCTTCAGTGCGGCCTCTGCCCGCCGCGCACCTTCCTCCAGCTCCCGCACCTCTTGCTGAGTCAGCTGGCGCTCCAACTGCACCTCTTTGCGGGTCGGCGCCCGCAGCACCGCGTGTGCGGCCTCTGCAGCCGCCACGCTCTGAAGGGGTGAGCGAGTGGGCCCACCGTCAGGGCGGTTGGGTGTGAGGGTGGCGGTCCACCTGCCAGCTCTCTCCACATCAATCCGCATCGGCAGCATGCGAGCGTCCTGAAAAACCCTTGTGCGGGGTTTATATCAACGGCCAATCCTTGTTCGTCGCACCGCTCTGCGTTGTTGAGGGCTGGCAACGCTTACACTTGGTGGGCAGCCCCCCAGCTGCACCGCACCAAACCCTGCCATGCAAATGCGAACGCCTCCATCGCGCTGGCCCGCCCAAGTCACAAATGCCAGGCCCTCCGCAGCGCCCTGCAGGCGCACGCGCACCTTGGGCAGCGCCACCTCCTTCCCGGCCAGCTCCCGTGCCAGCTTGTCCAGCTGCCCCTTGGGCTTCCCGCCGAAGCCCTCAAACACAGTGTCGCGCGCGCCGACGGGCACCTAATGGTTGCATTGGCAGTACAACCGGAACAGGCGCGACATGCGGTGCAGGCGGATTGGTTGTGCAGGAGCAAGAGGTGGGCAGGGGTGGGACGACGTCAGCGCCGCGGTGCGGGGGGTGATTTGTCGGTCTGACACTGAGTGGCTGCGGCAAGAGATATAAGCAAGTCAGAAGGGGCATGCATCTTCGAAGGCATCATGGAATGCCGCATGGGAGGGCAGCGGGAGAGGCTCGTGCGTTGCCTGCCTTCAGCAATTCCCCCATCCTTCAAGAGACCAAACGAACGCGCCCTTCCGCACCCGTCCCCCCTCCAGCCCCGCCTCCCGCGCTCCCTCGCCCCACCCGGAGCAGCGGCACCCCGAGCTGCGCCCCCAGCGCCAACGTCGCCGCCGCCCACGCCTCCAAACCAACGCGCGCGTCCCCGCCCTTCCCCTTGCCCTTGCGCGGCTTGGAGCCGCCCTGCTGCGCCGCGCCGCCCGCGTCTGCGTCGGCGCCCGCGGTCAGCACCGACTCTGCCAGCCGCCTCAGCGGCCGCAGCACCTCCAGCACCCAGCCGGCCGCGACCGCGTCCCCGTCACCCTCTGCCTGCTTAGATTTGCGCTGCTCGCCCCCAGGAGCTGCCGCGGCAGCCGCAGTCGGTGCCGCCGCTGACTCCGGTGACGCGGCTGACGCCACTGACGCCGGTGACCCCGCTGACGCTGCCGCCTCTGCGGCGCCGCAGATGCTGGTGAGCGCCAGGAGGGCCGCCTGCAGCAGCTCGGGGCTGCGCCCGGTGCCGTAGGCGGACAGGCTCAGCACCACCGACGCCAGCAGCAGCGCCACGCGGGCACACATGTACAGCATCAAAGGCGAAGCTGCTGATGATGATTCTGCTCCCGCTGCTGCTCCTGCTGCTGCTTGCGCTGCTGCCGCCGTTGAGGCTGTTGCACCAGCGCCCGCCCTTGTGGCAAAGCCTTCCTCCTGCCCCTGCCGCCCTGCTTTCGCCGATGGTTGCTCTCGCGGCGACTCCTCGGCCATGCGCACGCACTGCTCCGCGAATACCGCCCCGCCTCCGCCCCCGCCCGCGGCGCCGCGCCAGTTGGCCGCCCCAAGCGCGTTCGCCAACCTCAGGCACCGGCCCAGCGCGCCCGCCGCCGCCGCGCACGCAGTTGCGGCGGCAGCCGCGGCGCCGCGCCCGGCGCCCGCGCTCGCCGCCCAGGCGCGCTGCACTGATGTCAGGTCCCCATGCCTTGGCGCGTTCCGGAAGTCGGTGAGCGCAGCTTTTGCTGCGGCAGTGAGGAAGACCGGGTGTGCGAGCCCAAGCAGGGCGACCGCCGTGGTCTGCTCGAGGATTGACAGGTAAACATCCGGCGCCAGCGGCGCCACGCGTGCCATGGCGGCATCGACGCCGGCTGCGTGCCGGGCCGGCGGCGGCCGGGGCTGCGTCGGCGGCGGGCTCAGCGGGGGCCGGACACATTGCCGCCGCAGGCGCCGCCTCCCTCGCCGCCGCTGCCTGCGAGGCCGCGGCGCCTGAAAGCTGCTCCTTCAGGCAGCACCGCTCCAGGAACAGAAGCTGCGACGCGACCGCCGCCGCGGCGCGACCGTCCTCCCAGTGCCAGACCGCCTCGGCAGCCAGGAATGCGTCCACCACCCGCGCGCCGCCTGCGCCTGTTGCAGCCCGCTCGGCCGGCCGCAGCAGCAGCTGCAGCGTGACTGGGTCCGATTCCAGCCGCCCCGCGGCCTTCGCAAACTCCCGCGCCGCCTCGCGTGCCGCCTGCGCCGCCGCGTGCCCGTCCGGGGCCGCCAGCAGCCGCTGGCGCAGCGCGGCAAGCGCGGCGTTGGGGTCGCGGGCGAGGCGGTCGGGCGGGAGGGCTGACAGGGCGCGCTGCATCGATTCGCGCAGCGCGACTGGAAGCCAGCCGGTGCCGCTTGGCAGGACGGCCGCCAGCTTGCGCTCTTCCGCCTGCGCGTTGGTTTTACGAAAGGGGTAGCCGGGGGTGCGGTGGTTTGAGGCCTGCAATCGAGGTCGCCTCTCTCGGAAGCAATGCAAGCCTGGGCGCCAAGTGGCGCCGCGAGGCGCATGATAGCGCGGCATGCCGGCGCTCGAAGACCCCGGGCGCTGGGAAGGCGTGCTCGAAGCAGCGGCGCGAGGCGCATTTGCAGGCGCTTCCCCGTGACACCTCGGCGGCCTGGGTTGCGGCGCGGACCCACCCGCATGAATTCCAGAGGCGTGGGGAGGTCAGGCAGCCAGACAGGCGGCGCCGTCAGCGCCTGGAGAAGCGGTCCCAGCTGGGCAAACACGGCCGCGGCCGCCGCCGCGTCGGCGCTGCCCAAGGGCAGGCGGCGCAGGCATTCGTGCTGGCTGGCGCGGAGGGTTGACTGCAGCTGCTGCATCCACTTGTGGGCGCCTGCCGCTAGTAGCGCCACCCTGGTGGCCTACACGTGTGCAGTGAGGATGAGTATGGTTTTGAGATCAATAGCCGTTGGGGTGTACATGTTGCGAGCTAGGGTTGTGGTGTCAGCAGTATGCGTGGGTACGTCGATGCGCTCTCATACGATTCCAGAACGCGAGCCGCAAAGCGCAGGCGGCGCAGGGTGGCGCGTGGCCAATGCACTGATCGAGCTGGGACCAGGCCCTGCACGACCCACCTCCCTCAGCTTGCTGGTCGCCGCCTCTGCCGCCTCCTCCGTCACCCCGCCCGCCGCCGCAGCTTCCCACGCCGCCAGCCACTCCCGCCGCCGCAGCCGCGCCACGGCAGCGCGCGTGCACGCGGCCGCGGCCGACGCGACGCACGCGTAGACGTGCGCCGCGAGCGCGCCGGCCGCGTCCGCCGGGCGCTTTAGCATGAGCTTGCCGCCCGACAGCGCCCCCGCGGCGCCGCCGCCGCTCTGCACCAGTTCGCCCCTCGGCCGCGCGTAAATGCAGCCGAGCGCCTCCAGCAGCTGCCCGCACCCGTCCTCTCGCACCTCCACGGGTGCGCGCTTTGCGTTCGCCAGCGGGGCTGCGCCATAGTATCTCTCCAGCCCGCCCACCAGCAGGCGCCGGTACTCCGGCGGCAGCTCCGCCGCGGCCGGTGCCGCGCCGGTGCCGCGCACGGGGGCGCGGCCGCCGGACTGCAGTGCCGTCAGCTCAAAGTCCAGAGCCTGCAGCATGTGGCGCGCCTCGTCAGCGCGCTGCATGAAGTCCACGACATCCGCCACCTCAGCGGCGGCGGTTGCGGCGACGCCCCCGGCAGCGGCGGGCGCGACGGTGACTGCAGATGCGGGTTTTGCAGCGAGCGACCAGGCGAGAGCTTCCAATGCGCCCACGGGCTGGCCGGCGGCGGGGAACCCGGCGCGGGCGGCGTGGAGGGCGGCCAGGGCTTCGTCCACCTCCTCCTGCGCCGCCTTGGCGCTCCCCGCCTCCCCGCCGTCGTCGCTGCTGCTGCGGCGGCCGCCGGGGCTATCCCAGCCGAGCTTGGCGGCGAGCCGGGCGTGGACTGCTGACGGCAGGTGGGCCTCGGTCGGCTTCGGCGCCGCCGCCGCAGCCGTGGCGGCGGCCGCGCC